GGTGACAAACATTAGCTGTGCCTAGAGGACCATCAACTTGGTGAAAGACCCTCTTTGGTCTGCCTGAAACTTGTTGGTCTTCCAGAATAAGGAATTGATCCCGATCGAGTTGCAGACTGGCACATACCAAGGTCCAGGCCAATGTGCTGAGAGACGCACTAAAGCTTGGGGCAGCTGTTGCCAAGGTGCAGTGGGGAAAGACCACTGTCTGGAGTCTTTCTGCTGAAGGTAAATGGGGGTCTGTTCAGTAATTGGACCCTCCCACTGCCTCAAATTCATGTAAATATAGTCTTGTACGATTAAGAGATGACTTTGGTTTTTGTATTGGATAGACTCAAACTGCAATGTTCATTTGTTCCTTCATATACTATTGTACAGAACCGAACTGCATTTGTGCCTTTATATATAGATAAAAATATTCTTTATGAATAAAGTATATTTTTGAAGTAAAAAGGGGGGGCCGAAGAAACCCAAAGTTCTTCTGATTCTCAATCCTGAGGAGGTTGGCTTGATGTTAGGCCTCAGGCCTTCTCCTTCATTTGAGATTGACAAGCTGCAAAACAGCTGCTGGGGAGAGCGCCCAGACGGCCCGGTTTTGACAGGTCAGTCCTGTCGAAAATTCCCAGAATCCTGATGATTTCCCAAGAATGGCCTGTGTGCACCTTTTCCCATTTTGTCAAAAACAGAGGGTCTGGGGAGAGAAAATGCGTAGCATTCTTTTTTTTGCCCTGTTTCCCATGAGCAACCATCGTGTTTTTTTTTGTGTGAAGATGCTGCAGTTTTGATAGATTTTCGTGACCTGAGTCTGAGCGATTGCAGAAGTGCCTGGAATGCTTTTTTTCTCTCTCATTGTTAAAAAGGTCAATGAAAAGATACATCGGGCCTTTTTTTAAAGGCATTTCTTGGAAATCACCCAGTTTCAGATAATTGCAGTTCTTGCTTGTTAGAACTCTCTTCAGGGAAAACACGTGACAGTTTTATGACTTCTGCTTGAACAATGTTTGCAGGCAGATTGGGTTTTAGAGGTTTTTTTGTTGAAGACCTCCTGATGATTATTTCGTTTCTGAACTAACCACGGCTGGACATGTCAACGACTGGCCTCTGACCTTCAACTGCACCTCCTTCCAGACCCCTGACGTTGGTCACCTCCCACACTCCACCACCACCGTTCCCACCCCCCTCCAACATCACCCTATGGAGTGGCATGTGTGGCTCAGTGGTTAGCACTTCTGCCTCACAGCGCCAAGGACCCAGGTTCGATTCCATGTAGAGTTTGCCTATTCTCCCCGTGTCTGTGTGGGTTTCTTCCAGGTGCTCCGGTTTCCTCCCACAGTCCAAAGGTGTGCAGGTTAGGGTGGATTGGCCATGGGAAATTGCCCCGTAGTGTCCAGGGATGTGAAAACCTGGTGGACGAGCCATGGGGAAATGTAAGGTTACAGGGATAGGGGGTAGATCTGGGTCGGGTGCTCTTCGGCGGGTTAGTGCAAACTCGATGGGCTGAATAGCCTGCTTCCACACTGAAGGGACTCTATGACGTCAATCATTAAAAGATATTTGGATAAGCACAAGTAGTTCTGCTGTAAACACGTGTTTCGCCAATGCGATTGATGACCATAACACGAACTTTCTGCTGTACAGTATAGCGATTTTCTATAGTGCGTGGTCACACAAGAATGCAACTATCGTGTTGCAGGAGAAATGCCCGTATTTCAAACATCGTAACATTCAAGGATGTGGGACAAGTGCAGGAAACTGGGACTGGCGCCCTTGGTGGTTATGTCGGTGCAGATTCGACGGGCCCACGGGCCTTTTCTGCCCTGTGCGAATCTACGAAACTACCATCAGACAGCCCCCTGCCTTACTATGACTCTTCAATATGTCCCCATGTGGACCTGTCGAAATTTGGTTGCCTTGTTTCTGTGACCCCCCTCTCCCCTTTCCCACCCCAGGCTCCTGTAACGGTGACTGTAATCCCAGTTTGGCTGTTAAAGTGAGAAGAGGATACAGTGACAATGGAGGTGTCTCAGGAGCTGGGGTTGGGCAACTAACTGGGTGTGATACTGAGGATTTTACACCACTGAAAGATGGCAGTGATTGTAATTCCCTTAGCGAATATGAGATCCTTGATTAGGGCTGTTAACCTGATCCAGTCAGGGAGCCCTGGCTGACAGATATAAACAGGAGGGTCAGAGATGCTGATAGCTGACTCGGAATGAGGCAGTGCTATAGTCAAGGACTATTTGTGTGTAAATAGAGGATGACTCGGTGATGGGATACATGACCCTGTGCTGTTATTTCAGGAGAGACCAGGAAGGAGGTAGGGAAACGATTTGAAAAGCTGTGGAAACATAATCTGTCCCGTTACATCAGGGTTGGTAAAAGGAGCTAGCCCAGGTGTTCACTAACCCGGAAGAAAAAGGAACTGCAGAAAAACCAATAAATACTTGGAAATGAAGCCCGCCTGATTGGCACGACATCCACAAGCCTTCACTCCCTCCACCACCGACGCTCAGTAGCAGCAGTGTGTACTATCTACAAGATGCTCTGCAGAAATTTACCAAAGATCCTCAGACAGCACCTTCCAAACCCGCAACCACTTCCACCTAGAAGGACAAGGGCAGCAGATATATGGGAACACCACCCCCTGCAAGTTCCCCTCAAAGCCACTCATCATCCCGATTTGGAGATATATCGCCGTTCTTTCACTGTCACTGGGTCAAAATCCTGGAATTTCCTCCCTAAGGACATTGTGGGCCAACCCACAGCAGGAAGAATGCAGCGGTTCAAGAAGGCAGCTCACCACCATCTTCTCAAGGGCAACTAGGGATGGGCAAGAAACGCTGGCCAGCCAGCGACACCCACATCCCACAAAATGAATAGAAAAATAAAATGATGGGAGCTTCGTTTTGAACTTTACAAGACATTACAAATTCTACTGAAGGAATGCCCCTTGAAATAAGGGAAGCATTGGTGGTCATCTGTCAACATTCTACAGACTCTGGAACAGATTGTATGGATTGGAGAGCAGCTAATATTACCCCACAGTTTAAAATAGGAGGGAGAGAGAAAACGGGGAATTATAGAATGGCCAGCCTGACATCGAGAGTGGGGAAGGTGCTAGAGTCTATTACAAAATCGTCAACAGCACAGCAGTTGGAAAAGGGTAACTGGATTAGACAGAGTCAGCATGGATTGACAAAAGGTAAATCGTGCTTGACAAATCAATTAATTTTTTAGATGTAATTAGTAGAATTAATAAGGGGAAAGCAATGAATGTGGTTTACTTGAACTGTCAGAGAGCTTTCCATAAGGTGCCACATAAGAGATTAGCCTGTACACTTATAGCATTTGGGATTGGAGGTAGTGTAGTGACACGTTTGACAGGCAAGAAACAAACAGCAGGAATAAATGGGTCTTTTTCCTGAATGGCAGGCAGTGTCTACTGGAGTACCACAGGGATCTGTGCTTGAGCCCCAACTATTTACAGTATGTATTTAATGATTTAGGTGAGGGAACTGCAAACGTAGAGATACCTTGTTTAGATGACACAAAGCTGTGAGAGGATGCAAAGATGGTTCAGTGTGATTTGGCAAATCAAGTGAGTGAGTGGGTAAATGCATGGCAGATGTAGTAGAATGTGAGGTTATCCACTTTGGTCGCAACAACAGGAAGGCAGATAATTATCTGAATGGTGATTGGATTGGGAAAGGGGGAGGTGCATAGAGAGCTAGGTGTCATCAT